TAGTTTAAAATAATGTTATTAACATATCAAGTTATCTACCACCCCCATGGATAATTTTTATTTCTATAAAGGCCACAATCACAGCAAAATGAGTATCACTGCAATTCTTCCTAATGAAGGGTTTAAGGCAACTGTGGTCTCAAAGTGCAATCACAAGACTCAAGAGTTTTAGCTCTCTGCAGATACTGTTTCTGGCTAATAAAAAAGAACAGAGGTGAACCTATAACTTAATTGTATTTATATCAAATAAAGATTAGGTAACATAAAAAGGATGTTTTCATAGCAGTCCAGCAAGAGAAACAAGACAAGAAAACTTGAGGTCCAGCAGCACAGCACATAGAAACAGCAAAAAAAGAAAAAGGCCAAAAGGAGGCAACACCATATTTACATTTCAAGAGAAATTAATTCAATGAAAGTCCTCAATATTAAATTACATTTTAATTACTGTGTAGTGTGTAATCTACTTTATAATTTTTAAGGGTTAAAAGCATGTTTACACATTTGCATTAATACAGTTTTATGCATTAAACAATGTTTTAACACAAATAATTCAAACAATACTGAATCCACAAGAATTTTCTTCCAAGAAATACATACATTACCTAAGATTATGAAACTCAATTAGTTTTTTTTCTTGTGAATTCAATATTTTCACTTGAATATAAAGATAGAAGAAAAAGTCTATTACCCACTTTAAATGTGTCTTTAAAGCCATTACAATTATCTAGATTTTTTAAAAAACTATAGCAATACAAAGATAATTTATGATAATGGATATAATCTGGACATCTGACCATCATTACTTATTTGGCCAACATGGCTTGAGAAAGGGTAAAATAATACATTTCTCTTTTGTCAGTTAACTGTGAAGAAAATCTACTTTTCTTCCTCAAATTAAGGGCTGATAAACTATAAATCCCCACCCGTTTAACGAAGCATTTGTAACTATCATGCTTGTTGACTGTAAAAGGATGAGTCTTTTCACCCCAAAAAATGACATTAAGTATTGTAACAAATTTTACCAAATTGTATTATGAGGATGTCCTGTTAAATCTGAAGTCACGTGTAAATTTTCCAGATTACTTTGTAAATTATCCATTGTTAAAGCCTGTTTAAAAAAAAAAAAAAAAAAAACCTGTAATATTAGATGAAGAATATACACTCAGTTGTTAACACTGCTTCCTTACAGTCTTTGAATATTTTTTAAATTACTCAATTACTGCACTGAACAAGTGACTGAAAGTTTTTACGCTCAATCAGTTCACTTATTTGCTTTTTTACTAACCACAGGTTCCTCAGTTTTGGTTTCTTAGTGCCAACTATTCGTTCTCCTTTGAAGATAGAATATTTACTTTTGTGTAATCTTTCAGCTATCAAAATTTCCAGATAAATTTAAACTGGTTGCTCATTGAATAAGGACAACATATAAGAATTCACATAATAAATCCACATTTGGCAGCAAATAGATCACTGCACAATCCATACATGGTATTTGGTCAGTTATTCATTTGAGAAAGGATTAATTCCTGGAATCTTTCTAAATTAAGAAAACGAAATCAATCTGGCTTTTATTATTAATTTCATAAGTGAACGTGCCAAAAAATTTTTTGAACTGAGCTTATGGACTACATATGAAAATGAAATGGAGCGAATCCTTCAGAATTTTTCTGGGTGAGAATACCCTATTTAAGGATTAAAATACTATGGCAACATTTTCATATCCAATTAAGTATTTTTATCATGTACTCACTCCATGAGTTCTCCAAGCTCCCTTGACAAAATGATGGTTTAGATTTGTCATTTATTTTTGGTATCATCAAATACCTTCATTAATTTTCTCTTCAGAAAATGTTGACAGTGTTTTACTTTCAATGCTCCACAATACTGTTTAAATAGTCAACATTTTCAGTATGTACTATAAGATTTCCAACTACTCTAACTTCTGTAAGGCATATTAATTTTAGCATAAAAGATATTCTATTCCCATGCATTTCCTGCTTTTAGTAAACACAATATTGGGTGGAAATTAACTGATAATGCTATAATCAATTCCATAATACAGTGCACCCATTCCTTCTTGTAATGTTTCTATTTTATAAGCAAAATATATACACTCTCCAAAATCTTGAGAGTTAGAATCCTTTTGTGAAAATGACTAAAAGTCAATCAAAATGGTACTCGAAAATTATATTGACACTTATCAAAAAAGTAAAACCAATGACTGTTAGATCTTACCAGCAGTAAATGATACAATGATTCTACACATTAAAAAATACACTTATAAAAGGAAATCTGGAAAAAAATTCCTTAAATGCCTCCTGAAATCTAGTTATTCATGATACGACAATTTATCATTAGTATCTTAGTCTTTAAAATATATGTAAGAACACAACCATGTGCTCATTGAGAGTTAACATAGTTTTGCCCTGGCTGGGTAGCTCAGTTGGTTAGAGCGGGATCCTGATACACCAGCATCACAGGCTCGATCCTCGATCAGGGCACATAGAATAATCAACCAATTAATGCATAAATAAATGGAATAAATTGATGTTTCTTTCTCTCTCTCTGTCTGAAGTAAATAATTTTTTTAAAGTTAACATAGTTTTGACCAAAGTCTTTAATTTCATGATACATCTACCAGGACCAAAGTCATGCACACCAAATATATTTTAAAAAATACAATATTTTCCAGCTGTATGCTCTAAATTTCCAAAAAATATGAATTTCAAAAAAAATTTTTTTTTAATCCTCACCTGAGGACACTTTTCTGTATTTTGTTCAGATAGAGTGGGAGGGGGAAGAGAGAGAGAAACACCGACGTGAAAGGGACACATTGAGTGGTTGCCACCCACACGACCCAACCAGGGCCAGGGACAAAATGCAACTGAGGTATGTGCCCTTAGCGGGAACTGAACCCGGGTCTCTCTGGACCGCAAGCCGATGCTCTAACCACTGAGCAAAACCGGCCAGGGCTCAAATGTATTTATTAATAACAATATATATTTAGTGGGAAATACCTAGATCAATAAATTGGTATTAAGCAATCCAGACTAATAAATTATATGGTAAACTAATTCACTCTCCAATTATTTACCCAAATCTGAAGTATGATCAATTTATTTTTAATATGTTTTTATTGATTTTTTAGAGAAAAAGGGAGGGAGAGATAGAAAGAAGCATTGATGTGAGAGATACATCAATCAACTGCCACCTGCATGCCCCCCACAGGGGATCGAGCCTGCAACCCAGGCATGTACCCTGACCAGGAATCAAACCAGGACCTCTCAGTCCATGGATGATGCTCAATCCACAGAGCTACACCAGATGGGCTGTGTATGATAAATTCTTTTAAAAGGATAACCTAAAATTATAAATTTTGGTATTTTACACATAAAAGACTTAAATAGCATTGACTATCCTTACAAATGTTTATGTTCCAAAATTCTAAAAACTTCATAACAAATGCCATTACTTTAATATACCAAAATAATTCTGAAAATCAGAAAGTAATTAAAACCATTAAAGCATAACACTGACCTAACAGAACAAAAATTTTATTTTTGTAATCTTTATTAATATAATATCATCGCCTAGGGTCTCACCTGCTACCTTTTTAAACAAACTTCAAAGGCAATTTTACAGTTCAATACCATACACTCCTACAACCTTAGCCACTTTACAAAACAGACAAAGGAAAAATAGCTTCAAAACTGCTGTGTTAGAAATGTTACTACAATTAAGAGTGGTTCTGTATTGACTCCTATAATCAACCAGTGTGTCTTAGATTGCCATGTACATCTTGATTGTGACATGCAAAATGGATCATTCTGGAAATTAGCTAACTGGCATGCAGATTTCAGCAGAGATCCATAGTCCCATAAACAAAAGAAGAGAAATAAACATTATAGGGCCAACTTAAACAACACATACTTGAGGGGGGAAAAAACAAACCTTCACAATAGTAGATACAGGAAAAGGAATGAGGACAAGAGATCAAGGTACCCAGATTCTCAGCCCACCAACATATGAATAATTTAACACATTCAAATGGTTACTAGCACCCATGTATGACAAGACACATTTTTGAAGTAGAAAAGTTATTAAAGTGATTGCTTCAGACCATCAGTAACCATCAGACTCCTATATATGACATCTGTGTAATTCAATTTAATCTCCCTTAACAATTTAAAAGTTTTAAGAATGTATTCCAAGGTAATAGTTCATTCCAAACCTATTTTAATAAATTACACATGCACTAATTTGTATCTATGTATTTTGTGTCATTTTAAACATCTTTAATAATTAAAATAGAATAGTCATGTTGAAATTAACTTTAGACAAACTATCACTAATATATTAATGACCAAGAAAAGATAGCTCAAAGCTTTAGATTTGAATGAACCCAATAAAAACATGTCAGAGCATGTTTAAGAAATGTGTCTTTGTTACCTGACCACCTTTCTATTTTGTGCAGTGAATTCCATAAGAAAAGAGTAGTTTCAACTAAGTAGTATACCTAGTGCTTTAAAATAAAAAACACTAACTTAAAACCTCTTATCACTTTGGTAAAAACAGATCATCAGTTCAGAATTACACAGATGCCAAAGTGAAAGATAAGTGGAATGGATAAAATTAATCCCAGTTAGTATTAAAAGCAGTGGAAGAAAAAATATCACCAAAATTAAAAAAGAAAGGAAGAAAAAAGATGCTATGAAGAAAATATAGAATGTATATTTGGATAATTTACAATCTATAATTCTATAAAAATTGCTAGAATTCAAACATCTTTTTAATATATTTCTGGTGAAATCAAAGAAGAAATTAAACTAATAAAGTAATTTGTTCTCTAAAATACTCTGCAAATTCCAATTCACAAGAAGTATACAAAATAGGATAAGCAATAAAAAGTGTGTATGAATGAAAAACTACAACAATTCCAATTTTGCTACCTTGGCAAGGTATTTTACATATACCACATAAATATAATAGAAATGGCACAGTTTCTGAGGACACGATCCACATTTTATTTACATTTTAAGACTAACTTTAATCTGAAAAAATCACATACCCATTCACCTATTCCTTTTTGCTGATTTCACTTAAACTTAAATGCATGGTTTGTCACACTATAAACAAATATTTACCATGTCTCTTACATGTAACACACAGAAACAGCTTTTAACAAAAATTCATTCACCTTCCCGATGACATTTATTACAAATACAGTTATCAAAACAATCCTGAATATATTTTTGATACTACTGGTAATCAGCACCCACACCACTTCAAAAATTAAAGCAAATTGTGACAATATACATTGTACCTGCTACTTTAAACAATTTAAATTGAAGTTCTTTCACTAAACAAGATGGATAAACCATGCCATTTCCCCTTTTCCTTCTTGAGAATTTTACTTTTTAGAAACACATGTGTTTCCACAGCTATCTGACACTTCTCACGATGCTTTATCTGTACACCTGAATTCTGTTTTGAGTACTCCAGGTTTGTTTCAATGACAGTGCCTTAAAAAAATTGTGCTGCATTTTTTTCTCCTGTTACCTGAAAACAAAATGTGTGTACATATATTAAATATATTCTTACAAATGTCCAGGTCATGTTTACCAGCTGGAGTTCTTTTACTTAATGTGTGGTTATTTTGCATTGTGATATTTAATCAAGACATTAACATGAGTAGAAGATTGTTGATTTAAGACAAGTTTGAGATCCACTGAAACTAATTGTTGTATGTTTGTCCTTCTGGTGGCTGTGGAAGCTTCATATTTTCTTTGGACATCATTAGACGTCTTAGTTCTTGAAGTACAACTTTAATGCTATATGAATTTTGCCATTTTGCTAATACTGGTATGCTCCGTGCATCTACCTGGAAAGAGGAAAATAGATTCAATTAATTACCAAGTTTAAGGTACTATGGCATCACTTAATTAAACATTTTAGTAAGTCCTTTTAAAAATTCATAGCCTGAATAACAAGAAAGAAAATTGAAGATGTAATCAAGACTGTCCCAAACAAACAAAAGTCCAGGCCTGAACCGCTTCACGGAGGAGTTTTACCGAACATTTAAAGAAGAACTAACATCCATTCTTGTCAAACTATGTCAAAAAATTCAAGAAGAAGAAAGACTTCCAAACTTGTTTTATGAGGCCAGCATAATTCTAATTCCAAAACCAGAAAATGACACTACAAAGAAAGAAAACTACAGGCCAATATCCCTGATGAACATAGACGCCAAAATCCTGAACAAAATACTAGCAAATCGGATCCAGCAATACATCAAAAAAATTATTCACCATGACCAAGTGGGATTCATCCCAGGAATGCAAGGCTGGTATAGTATTTGCAAATCAATAAATGTGATACACCACATAAACAAAATAAAGAATAAAAACCACATGATCATATCAATTGATGCTGAAAAAGCATTCAACAAAATCCAGCACCCGTTTCTGATAAAAACGCTCAGCAATGTGGGAATTGACAGATCATGTCTCGACATAATAAAGGCCATATATGAAAGACCTACAGCCAACATCTCACTCAATGGGCAGAAACTAAAAGCATTTCCCTCAAGAACAGAAACAAGACAGGGATGCCCATTTTCGCCACTCTTATTTAACATAGTACTGGACGTCTTAGCCACAGCAATCAGACATGAAGAAAAAATAAAAGGGATCCAAATTGGAAAGGAGAAAGTGAAACTGTCATTATTCGCAGATGACATGATATTATACACAGAAAACCATAAAGACTCCATCAAAATTCTCCTAGACGTAATAAATGAATTTGGCAAAGTAACAGGATACAAAATTAACATTAAGAAATCGACAGCATTCTTTTTTTTTTTTAATCCTCACCCGAGGATATTTTTCCATTTTTTGTACAGATAGAGTGGGAGGGAGAGAGAGGAAAGGAGAGAGAGAGAGAAATCTCGACGTGAAGAGACACATCGAGTGGCTGCCACCCGCACGACCAACCAGGGCCGGGGACAAACTGCAACCGAAGTACGTGCCCTTAGCGGGAACCGAACCCGGATCTCTCAGGACCGCAGGCCAATGCTCTAACCGCTGAGCCAAACTGGCCAGGGCTCGACAGCATTCTTATACACTAATGATGAACTCACAGAAAAAGAAACTGAAAAAACAATCCCATTTACCATCACGGCAAAAAAATTACGATACCTAGGAATAAACTTAACCAAAGAAGTAAAAAATCTATTAACAGAAAACTACAGGATATTGAAAAAAGAAATAAAGGTATAAAAAAGTGGAAGCACATACCTTATTAATGAATTTGAAGAATTAACGTCATTAAAATGTCCATATTACCCAAAGCAATCTATAGATTCAATGCAATCCCCATCAAAATACCAACGACATATTTCACAGAACAAGAACAAATACTTCAAAAGTTCATATGGAACCCAAAAAGACCCTGAATAGCCAGAGCAATCTTGAAAAAGAAGGACAAAATAGGTGGGATCACAATACTGGATATCAGGTTATACTACAAAGCTACTGTAATCAAAACAGGCTGGTACTGGCACAAGAACAGGCATATAACCAGTGGAACAGAATAGAGAACCCAGACATGGACCCAGACATTAAGCTCAATTAATATTTGACAAAGGAGGCAAGAGCATACAATGGAGTAAAGACAGCCTCTTTAATGATGTTGAAAAAACTGGACAGCTACATGTAAAAAAAATAAAACTAGACCATCAATTTACACCATACACAAAAATTAACTCAAAATGGAGAAAAGACTTAAATGTGACCCTTGAATCCATAAAAATTCTAGAAGAAACTGTAGGCAACAAAATTTCGGACATCATATGCAGCAGAATTTTCACTGATACATCACCTAAGGCAATAGAAATAAAGGAGAAAATGAACACATGAGACTACATCAAACTAAAAAGTTTCTGCACAGCAAAAGATACAACCATCAAAATGGAAAGGCAACCCACTGTATGGGAGAGCATAATTGTCAATGACACATCAGATAAGGGGTTAATTCCCAAAATATAAAGAGTGCTCATACAACTCAACAAAAGGAAGACAAAGAACCCAATTAAAAAATGGGCAGAGGAGCTGAATAGACACCTCTCCAAACAGGACATACAAATGGCCAAGAGACATATGAAGAAATGCTCAACATCACTAATCATCTGAGAGATGCAAATTAAAACAATGAGGTATCACCTCCCACCTGTCAGAATGGCTGTCATCAACAAATCATCAAACAAGTGTTGGTGAGGGTGTGGAGAAAGATGGTGTCTAGTACACTGCTTTTGAGAATGCAGACTGGTGAAGCCACTATGGAAAACACTATGGTGTTACCTCAAAAAATTAAAAATTGAATTGCCATTTGACCCAGTAATCCCACTTCTAGGAATATACCCTAAGAAGCCTCAAACACCAATCAGAAAAAATATATATACCCCCATGTTCATAGCATCACTATTTACAATAGCTAAGAGCTGGAAACAGCTCAAGTGTCCATCAGTAGACAAATGGATAAAAAGTTGTGATACATATACACAATGGAGTACTATGCAGCTATAAGAAAGAAAGCTCTCTTATCCTTTGAGATGATATGGAGGAACCTGGAAAGTATTATCCTAAGCAAAACAAGCCAAGCAGAGAAAGACAAATACCACATGATCTCACATATTTATGGAATATAATGAACATAACAGTCTGAGGAATAGGGTAGACCCAGACACGTGGAAGTAGGGTACAGACTGACAACCCTCAGAAGAGGGGGAGGGAAGATATAAATCACAGAACTTATATGCATGTACGCACAACCAATGGACATGGGCAACAAAGCTGGGGATGGGGTGGAGGGGATGGGGAGAAGGGTGTCAATGGGGAATAAAAGAGAAACATCTGTAACAAAAATAAATTAATAAAAAAATAAGTTTAAAAAAAACATTCCCTGGCTTTATTTTCACAAAAGTTAACATTATTTTCATATAATATTTAGGTATATATTCCTTTCTTTAACAGGTATTTCAAAAAAAATTTATCTTATGTATGTGTGTACCTTTCTATATTTTACTAATAAATGTGTAGTGAACTTTGGTCACCAGAAATAAAAAAAATAAAACATATTAAATAGCTACACTGTAAATATATTTACAAACTCCTCCTTGATGAAATAAGGTTGGAAGTTTCCTCTCCATTTCCAACACCACTATCAAAAATCTAGGCAATTAGATCCATTGGGATTTAGGAAAGAACTGATTTTTTTCTTTCCAATGTGCTCCATGCGCCAAGACTGACAGAATGGGACTAGAGAAGCCTCATTCCCAGGTAACTGCCATCACTTGACAGCTCCCCCTGGAAAATGCCATTCACAGGGCTTTCTTTATCTGACCTCAGAACTCAACCACTGGGTACTGCCTATTCTGCCACCCATCCACCACCACTCCTACCCCTGGCAGTGAAAGCAGTGTCGATTGTTTAACATCTCTACTGCCTGGGGAGCCAATAACGACAAACAGGAAGGTGACCAAAATATATCTACAGATACCCATAGGGACTTTGAAAAGTTCTAACATATGCCTATAAATCTAAAAGACTACACACGTAGCCCTGGACAGTTTTTCTCAATGGTTAGAGCATTGGCCCAAGGACAAAGGGTCACAGGTTTGATTTCTAGTCAAGGGCACATACCTGGGTTGCAGGTTCAATTCCCAACCTAGCTCGGGGTTGAGCAGGAGGCAACCCATTGATGTGTCTCTCTCACATCGATGTTTCTCTCTCCCCCCACCCACCCCCTTCCACTCTATCTAAAAATCAATGGAAAAATATCCTCAGGTGAGGATTAACAAAAAAATAAATAAATAAAAGATTACACGTGTATAGGTCTGTGCATAGGCTCATGAAAGACTGAGAAGGCCATAAACTCTCATCTTCAGCAACATACAAAAAAAGATTATGTACCACAACCAAGTGGGATTCATCCCAGAAATACAAGGTTGGTTCAATATTTTAAAGTCAACCCATGCAATATGCCATATAAAATAGAAAACAAAAAACATGATTTATCTCTTGACAGAATCCAATAACCTTTCATGATAAAAAAAAACTCAAACTAAGAACAGAAGGGAACTGCCTCAACCTAGTAAAGGGCATCTATAAAAAATACACAGCCCTGGCCAGTTTGGCTCAGCAGTTAGAGTGTCGGCCTACAGCCCAGAGAGACCTGGGTTCAGTTCCCGCTAAGTGCATGTACTTTGGCTGCAGTTTGTCCCCGGCCCTGGTTGGGTTGTGTGGGTAGCAGCCACTCGATGTGTCCCTTTCACTTCGATGTTTCTTTCTCTCTCTTCCTCTCTCGCCCTCTCACTCTATCTGAACAAAAAATGGAAAAGTGTCCTCAGGTGAAGATAAAAAAATAAATTTAAAAAAATACACAGCTAGCGAGGGGGAGGGATAAGATAAACCAAAGAACTTATATGCACGTATGCATAGTCAATGGACAAAGACAACAATGCTGGGGGGGAGGGGCAGGATCAAGAGGAGGATGTCTAGGGTAGAAAAAGGAGAAACATCTGTAATAAAAATACATTTAAAAAATAAATAAACAAAAGTTACAAAATTAGAAAAGTAGAAAAAAAAATACACAGCTATCATAATTTAAGGTGAAAGACTAAATACTTTCCTCCTGATATCAGGAACAAGATAAGGATTTCCAGTCTCATCACTGCTATTCAAGACTGTATCGGAGGTTCTAAATAAGAAATCAGGCAAGAAAATTAAATAAAAGACAGATAAAAAAAACAAGAAGTAAAACTATCTCTATTTGCGGTTGACATAATCTTCTACATAGAAAATCCTAAAGAATGCATTAAAAACG